CCCTGCCAGGCCCCACCCCCTGCCTGATCCTCCAGCCCCACTGAGCACCCCCTTCCCCCTGTGGGGGGTTTTGGGGGGCAGCGAGGATTGCCCCCAGCCAGGTCGCAGCCAGTGAGTCTGGGGGAGGGGGGTTGTTTTTTTTAAGGGGCTGGGGTGGGCGAGGGGGTAGCCATGGGAGGGGACTGGGAGAGCAGGTGGGGGTCGGGGGGCTTGTGACAGAGCCCCCATGTTGCGTGGGGTAGTAGTGGGGGGGCAGCAGGGATTTACACCCCCCCCACCCCGCAGCAGCCAGTGAGTAGGAAATTTCTTTTTCAAAGAGCCAGAAGCTGGGGCTGGGCAGGGCAACCATTGAGAGCAGGTGGGGGATGGGGCCTGTGATTTGGAGATTCGGCTGATTCAGCAGCAGTTGAATCTCTGAATCAAATTTGGTCAAACCTATTCAGGACAGCAATGTGAATCACGGAATCAAATCACTGTCCCCTGAATCAACTGAATCCTAATCTGAAGTGAATACTAGCCACTTCACATAGGCCTAATTAGTATCTACTTGATTCCTGCTAATCTCTTCATTCCATAGGTATTAATGACCCCTGGTTAGACTGTTTCCAGTGGAGGTAACCTACCTAGAGCAGTGCAGCAGGCCTAAGGGCACCACTGTCAGGCATGCTAAATTAACCATGTAGACATAGCCTTTTAGGCCAGGTACAGACATTGCACTTTTACTGGTATAATCGATCGGAAACCAGGCTATACCTATAACAGAACAGAAGTTTGGCACACAAAAATGGTCTATACCCATAACAGAACAGAAGTTTTGCACACATAGGGTGTGTCTACACATGCTTTTATGCTCACCTAAACTTAATGCACATTTGCCTACTGTGCATCAAAGCAATTTAGGCACACATCTACACCTGCACGTGCTAAGGAGCATTAAAGCGGTATGTGGACCAACTTGGAACTAAAGTTGACTAAATCACTCCATATACACACAGCTTAATGTGCCTTAGTTTCATAGTTTCATAGTTTCTAGGGTCGGAAGGGACCTGAGCAGTTCATCTAGTCCGACCCCCTGCCATGGCAGGAAAGAGTACTGGGGTCAAACGACCCCAGCAAGGT